TCACCCCCCCCCCCCCCCTCTTTCTCCGAGTAGTCCGACTATTCCACCTGCTTCCACCGCTGTTCCAGAACCCGGATCATCATCTTTGGCCCTCCGCTCCCAACTTCCCCGGCGACCTGCCTCATATGGTGATCATACATGGCGCCCGTAAACTCCGTCTCATTCTTCCACCCGTAGCCGACCTGGGCATTTCCCACGTTGTAATCATGTCCGTTGATTGCAGCCTGTGCTCCGCCCATTGCTTTGTAGAAGGACCCCGTGATTCCCAGCATCTTGGCCTGCTGCGCCTTCATGAACTGCGCCATTAGAATTTCCTCGCAGTGCGGTATTGTCTCGAGGAATATAAGCCTTCTCTTGTGAGCAAAGTCCAGTAAAGCAGGCAGTGCATCATTCTGACACGCTTCGGTGTATAGGCCACGCATCCGAGGGGAATACAAGTCGCAAATACGTGACTTCTCTACGAACAGTCCTTTCATGGGAAACCTGGCCTCAAATCTGGATCCTTTGGCAAAGGAGATGTAGCACTCTTCACAGATTTGCAGGTCGTCCCATCCCCACCACTTTCTCTTGCCTGGTTTCTTGAGATCATATCGTGGGCATAAGGGAACGCTAGCCCACGTCCTGGCAGCCAATTCCAACGAGTCTGGCTTCCCGGTAAGAACCACCTCGTTGAAGTTTGCCAGAAATTGCTGCCAGCGCGGCTTACTGGTGTTGAAGTTGCAGACAAATGTATCGCTTCTCGAGGTACCTGGTTTTGGCATGAAGTGATGAGCTCCCCCAAATACTGTGGCGATGGAGCCAATGCAAGCGCCGCAAACCGCAAAATCGGGAGGGTTGTTCTTGGTTGTGAACCACACGGCATTGGTTGTGCCAGTTCCAGAACAGATGGGGTTCGCTCCAAGTTGATCCATGGCTGCCCAAAATATCTGCCAGTCTTGCTTGCTTGAGGCCCTCATGGTCGATAATAGGATATTCAAGTGACCCATCACACAGATAGCAGTGCCATTAGGTCCCTCCGGCTTTCCGAGAGAAAAGAAGTCGGCCGCAGGGGTGCCAAAGAAGTAGTCGCAGAAACAAGTATGACAGACCTGCAGGCCCGGTGGTCCCCTGCTTGCAATATACCAGCCCCGTTGGTCGATGATGGTGTTTGTCAGCTTGGGGCATTGTGGCATTTGTAAACGAGCCTTCACATCATCGCAGAACTTATCCCATGTTCCCGTTCCGACGTTATCCTCCAATGTGCGTGGGATAAACCAGACGCTCAGGTCACAGTACCACTGTTCAGCAATCGTGTCCGCTTGCTGTAGCTTAAATTGGAAACCAAATGGCGTGTGCATCAAATTATCCTCGAAGCACGCCTCACAGATAGTGGCGCCGGGGATATCGTTGGATACATACCTGTTGCGTTTTTGCTGCAGCTGACTTTCAGGGCAAGCCGGAAGGTCTTGTCTCTTTTTCATGAATTCTAGCGCGTTGCTCAGATTTCCTGACAAGATGGTTTGAGGCCACAAAGTCTCCTTCATCCGGCGGGATCCAAACATGCATCGTCGAGATTCGCCTTGTACGGAGCGTGCCACTGTAAACTCGAAGCGGAACGGCGAGTTGTAGACGTAGTCGACATAGCAGCAACTACAGATTGTAAACGACGAGGCGCATGAGTGAGTAAACCAATCGAGTGGGAACAAGACCTCTGTGTTGCAACACTCCGTGATGGGCGTGATACCACATGGATGTGGCCTTGGTGTTCCCGAAACATGATGGACCGAGGCTTGTACGGCAATCGCTTGGATACCCTGTGTTGTTATGGATTGGTCTGGCCTTGAAGATGAAGCTACACTTGGTGGCTGGCCTGATGTGCTCAATACTGGCTGAGGAAGAATCGGCACATACGGTGCTGCTGACGTGCCGCTATCCTGAAGCCATGAAGTTGGTCCTGACGAAGGCGGCCGAGCAGTCTGCTGATGATACAGCGGACATGGTTGATGATGCTGCTGTTGCTGAGGCTGTAGATGCAGGTACGGATTCTGCTGGCCATACTGTTGAGCAGGATAATCCCTCTGCTGCTGCTTATGTTGATAATCCGCGGCAGCCTGTTGAGCCACACTTCCGGCCTTGGATAGAGCTTCGCTCAAGAACCCCATGTTTGCCAAATCCGGTGATTCCGGGCGAGCAAGTGAACTGGTCCGTAGTTATTCTGCAAAGCAGCTTTGTATCGTCTGCCTGTCAACTTCGGCCAGCGTCGTGCAACGTCAGCTCGGCGAGGTCAACAGCAGCCAACAACGGTCGAAGAACCCAGGGCTCAACGTCCTCAACTAGAAGGAACCGACTAACGGCGACCCATGACCAGGGAAATGAGGGGGGCAGAGCTGAAATATATAGATCCCGAGGCACAAAGTGAGACTTGACCCCAATGCCCCGAACATTGCAGCCCAGCCTTATTCCCATGTCACGATTCCGTTCCGCACATGTGCAGGCTAGCAGTCCACTTGCATGGCAGAAGAGGAAATCCGTTTCGTGGCGCTCTATTCTACGGTGCTACCAGACAACAATTGCTGTAACACAGACAGACCAGGCCTCAAAGCCCAACGCTGCCCATTTCCACCAATTTGATGCTCTGCTGTTGGAGACCAAGTCCGCGGCACCAGCGGAATTTGTTCCACCGTCGCACTCTCGCACTCTCAGCGTGACGCTCCGTGTATGCGTCGTCACACTTGTCTGTATCTTTGCGTGTCACACGTACTGATGTTACTGCCGCTCATCAAGGAGCAAAAGCTCCCGTCAATTCATTATCCGAAACACCAGCCTTTACATACCAGTCCTTAGTAGAAGAAAACGCAATGAATAGCAACCCGGCGTAAATAGAACATGATTCTCTCCTCCAAAACCTTTTTAACGCCAATATCGTGACCCGCCGCAAGCCCCTGACAATGCACTCTGATATTCGCATAAACAGAATAATACTGAATTCCTCGCCTCGCATCATTCATCATAACCCTCTTGTTCGATGCAATGAACTTTCATCATCTACTGCATCAGCGCTGCTCTTGTCTTGTTGTATATTTCCGGTCGTCTTATGTTCAGGTATGAAGGGTGGCAAGCAGACACATGAGTCTCACACCCCCCCATCAAGAATATCCCCCACCTCAACTTCGTTTAACAAAATTCGCTGTCCCAGTTCTTCAGGACATTGTCCGTCCCGAATGGCGCCAAAATCCAGAATCTATGGCAAGAGTCAGTACATTGCTTTGTCAGACTTGTAGTTCAAATTCCCTGGTAGATGTTACCTCAACATAGGTCAACTGGTCGCGCTGCACAGCTGCCACACACCGCCGTTCGTCAAATTTGACTTGCCAAACGCCAGTAAGGTCAGTTAACAAATCTTTCACACACTCGCCCGTATTGACGTCCCACATTTTCACAGTCTTCTCACTGCCGCTAATGACTTTTTGTCCGTCATGTTGGAAGCAGGTGATGGCTCCGGTATGTGCCATGAGCGTGTGTCGGCACCTGCCGTTCTCAGGGTCCCAAACTCGAAGCGTCGAGTCTGCCGCGGCCGATACGAGACGCTCATCTCGTAGATCCAAGAGACCAACCAGAAGAGTATGGCCCTCGAGGGTGTTGAGACAAGCACCAGTAGCAAGGTCCCAGATCTTGACAAGTGAGTCCATAGAACCGGAAATACATCGGTTTCGCTTGTGGTCAAGAACAACAGAGTACACCTTCTGAGAATGTCCACGAAGAACATGCAGCGATTCACCGGTGCTGATACGCCATACACGCACGGTACTATCATAAGAGCCACTGACAAGGGTGTCACCATGGGCCGAAATAGCCCTCACAGAATGCGTGTGGCCCGTGAGCACCCTAATGAAGTAGGGGCAGTCAGACTCCTGCGCTGGCGGCCCCGTCTGAATATACCTACGAGAGCCAACCTCTGGGAGACGCCATACTCGGAGTTGGCTGTCTCGAGATCCAGTGATAATCAGCGGTTTCTCAGGTTGCATAATAGCCTGTCCACTTAGATCTAGGCTGGTTTCCGTGGGCATAAGAATCTGCAAGCATCGCACAGTACTAGTATGGCCATAGAATACTTGCTGACATAGTCCTCGCTCGATATCCCAAACCCGAACCGACCTATCGGTCGATCCTGAAACAAGAATGTTTCCCTCATACTGCAGGGCCCATACACCACCTTCATGACCCTCGAGCTTTTTACGCAATTTACCCGTCTTCGTGTCGTAGATATGAATTAATGTGTCATCGCTGCCCGTTATTATTTTATCATCATCAAACTGTAAACAAGTGATGACGTGTCGAGGATGGGCAGGAAAGGCGACATGACGGGGTGCGACTTCTCCACTTGTCCAGCTTCGACGAATCATATGATGACGGCGATAGATGGACTTGAAAAGATGAAGTTGGCGAAGACTAGGCAGGCCGAGCTGGGGATCAGGAACGGCTGCTGCTGCTGCGTTGGCAGCGGAAAGAGGTCCCTCAGACTTATGTTGCTTTAATTCCGTCTCCATTCTCTGGTCTCTCACGGCAGTAATAGAGGGTTCCTGAGACGCGCCAGCCCTGCGTTTCGATCGTTCCGACGCGGAATAAGCATTCAGGCCCCGCTTTCGCTTCGAACTCCTAGACTTTGGCGCAATTTCGCTTCGGAATGCTCGAGTTAATTCAAATTCAGACGATGTAAGTCGACCCTGCATGCTTAAGTCGTGTTCGTAGTCCAAGGGCCCAACCGGATCCTGCCAGCCCCAACCTTGGACGATGGCTTTGTGCAGTTCACCCGGTGCCATGCAATAGCCGTCACTGTCCAAGAGCTCCTTCCAACCCGTTTCATTGCGGTCAACAATATTGCGCCAGTGCCTCGAAACTTGAGCGGCCCTGCATAAATCTCGATGGTCCAAATAAGCCAAGACATGGTAGCTCAACTCCAGGGGAAGCTGCCTTAAAAAGTCACACTTCAAGGTAGGATTCACGGTATCAGCGATCAGCCGCAGAGTAGGACGCGGGCATCGACGAAGGAACTGATACATCATGAAGGTCTTCATTTCGGTCTTCATGGAGTCAAATGCTTCTAGGAGTGTCTGCGTATCGAGGACAACAGGTCCGAAACCGTCGTTGAGTTGGAGCCGTCTTAAAGCTCCTCCATCTTTGGTCGACTGGGAGTTTGACGTCAGCTGCAAAGCTTTGGTATCATCTGTGGCCTGGGTCTCATCCACCCAGGGCAAGGTAGTATCACTCGCTGATGTCTGGAAGCTAGACTGGGCACCATCATCGGGTTCCGCGGAATGCAACTGGGATGCAGCAAGAGTAGGCGACAACCTCGGACTTGGGAGACTCGCATCTTGAGCAGCAACTACATCAATTGTAGGTCTGTGATGAATTGCAGTGCGAAGTGAATGTTGAAGTGAGTCGTCAGCGTCTCCAAAAGGCTCAGGGTCGGCATCGGTGACTGGGGGTGTAGCCACATTGCTACTGAAAACAGTATGAGAGTCACTTCCGGCTGGGCTAGCGGCGTCACAGGCAACAGCAGGCACAGATGATGAATCCTGCAGGGATTGAGGTCGTTCCGAATTTAATGAACGGTGTCGTTGGAAAGAGCGGTCCATCGCTGAATTAGCGACCTCAGAAGTATCGGGGGTGGCGAGAAAACCGGATCCGCCGCGAGTAGGTCTTTCGACAACATCACGGCGGCTGGAGGGCAGCATGTCGGCGGCAGCGGTGTTTCCACTACCACAGCTTGCGTCATATAACGAGTAAAGCTGCGCTAATGATCGCCTCAACTTGTCTGACTCGGCGCGCGAGGTAGATCGGGCAAGGCGCTGTGATGTTCGAGGTGTAACGACAGGAACAGTACCGCCCTGAGAAGCTGAGGATGACGGCGAGTCGGCCACGCTAGATCGAGTGTGACGAGTTCGTCGGGGATAATATTCAGAAGGGGACCGGGATGCCTGACGGCTGGTTCGATTTGGTAAAGGAGTCTGTTGCAGACTGGGTTCGGCTTTCACGACCGTGGGTGTGATGGCACCGGTCACAAGTTGCCTCGACTGCTTCGGCCACATTAGTCCCTATTTGCGCATTCGATTCCTGCTCTTCTGCAAGTCCTAGAGCAATTCTTGGCCCAAGTTGGCCGGGAGGTTTATACAACGTACAGGTTTGGTAACCGCCGGTTGACTAGAGCCGTCCAGGGCAGTGTCCTTTGTGTCGTTGCACTGCATGTCTTGTTCGTCAGATTGGTCGTCTTCGGGAACGTAATAGGAGAAACCCAGTAGCTCTGGCGGCGTCGGTTTCATCGCTAAAGGGTATTCTTTCGTGTCGAGGCTTTCAAGCGGGGTTGGGTCGCGGACGAAGACTTGAGGAAACTTGCGAGTAAGGCGGGTTGTGGTAGTAACGGTTTTTGTCTCAACACACTCGCTCATTTCAAGCTGGAATCGTCGACCGTGGCTCTGCGAGCCTTCCGCAATATTAACAGAGACTTTTGGATCGCTCCGCAGTCGCCGTGGCTCTGAGGCCTGGCCGCAAGGCAAGGGCGAGGGCGTCATGATGTGGTGTCTGCAGGATATGACTCCGGAGCCGGGAGACTAAGAGGGTGGTAGATCGGCGCCGGGCAGTCGAACCCCGACGGTGGGTTTAGCGAAACAGGGAATAAGAGCTGTGCTGGTGAAAGAGGGCTCGCTCCGAGATGGTCTTTACAAAATTGCACAGGATTGCACAGGTTGCCGACCTTGAAGGAGCGGCTTAATGAGGAGACAAGCGCGTGAGCCTCGCGCTGGATGAGGAGAGGGCAGGTAAAAACGAGAGCCACTCGCCGGCAAAAGGAGACGCCGGAAGAGTGGGTGGCCAGCGGGTGACGGCCAGGGCCAGTGCGGACTAGCCGTGGGTCGAGATTTCAGGAGGCAAGAGCGGTTGGGTGGCCGGTACTGACCGACGCAGTACATACAGAAGTTCGGAGTAACCCTGCTCAGTTCTAGATACCTAGGTACCTAGGAAGGTGGGAAGGTGTCAGCACATTTATTACTCCGTGTTGCATATTGGTTCCTTCCGAACGAATCTGCATACGGGCACACAGAAAGAATTCGGTTCAGATCAACGAGTCTATTCCGATTCTTGGCCGCCCGAGCACACGGCAATAAAAGGGAGATAGATAAAAGAGATTGCCGCAAAGACGATCTCGTAGATAGCGCAGTCAGGGCGGTGAATGTTCCAGCCAACTTGATTTTATATAAGACGTCGCAGATCGCAACTACTTACCTTTTATGACGGAGTAGGCACTCCAAATTCTGTCTGGGACTTCTATGCAAGCCCCTCCAGCTGAGGCACGCGATAACGTTCCCGCTGGCTGTCAGGCTACTGAAGCAATGTAAACCTGGCACGAAGTACTTTCCGCGACGTCTGGCGTACTCCTAGAGCCGTCTAGTCCCTTCAATGCTCCTTGATATTTGGAGCACTTGAGCAGTGTCAGTCGGTCCAGATGCCCCATGGAGCATCTTGCCGCCGTCCATGGCTCGTGCTTGGCAGCCCAGTGGCACGAATTCCGATCCCTTGAATGTGGGCAAGGGCGACGAACTTTGCAGGGAGGTGCGGCAGTAGCGCCTGCCCAGCCTAGCTGCTCCACCTTGATCCAAAGGCTCCAATTAAATTGAGGTGAAGACTAATTAGAAAAACCCATGCCCTTTCACTGCTCAGCATGGCGCATATATGGATTTGCCAGCCACCGTCGTCTCGGCGCATGATAGTGACGAACGCTGTGTGCGCTGCTGTAAGCTTGTGCAAACTTATTGATGAAATTTATTACATTGCATATTGGCGTTTGCCCGCACCACTCAGGGTACCTGCTGTACAGCCATGCATGCTTTTTTCACTTTACTCTCCGACTAGCCTGACCACACGTCTCTCATCGGGAAGTCAGCCAAGGCCCTGGCTGCCTATGGGCCGACAACGGAGATGCCGTGAGACTGGCTCAGTGCAGCGGCAGGAAGCCCTTGTTTGTTGTTCCCCAACGATACAATCTTCGCTTTTGATCCAAAAAGCTCTCCGTTCACCTGAGAATGCCGCCTGGTAAAGCTGAGCTAATACATACCATGGTACGGAATAAGCTAATGCCTCAGCGCACCACCAACGGCCAGTCAGCTCTCTGACTAGGTTGGAAAATAAGGGGTGAGAAGAAGGAGGCGCTAATAAAGTGAATGCGTTTCTAAAATATCATGACTACGAGCTTACTAGACGTCTCCAAACACTCCATCTTAGACTACGAGTCATTAGACACACCAGTCCTGGTGTGCGTTCGTTTGGCAGTATGCAGCCACATCAGCAAAGCACGTGGTGACTGGACCTACGGAAGTATTGATTGATCTACTCGTTGGCAGGTAAGTGGTACGTCCTGAAATTGGTCAATTGGCCAGTGTGTAGTCGCTGACGGGTATTCATTCATTTTTGTCGACCTCAGACTTCGAAATGACAAAACATCGTCACCTAACGGTCAAAAGTGCGAAAACCAGGTACAGGCAGTGTCACGCGCGACCTAGACGAAGGGATATTTTCTTCATCGAGTAATAGGTTCTCGAAAGCCCGCTAGCATACTGGCTATGGCCGCAACGCGTCTTTAGTCTTCCCTCCAGACACCAAAGTTATGAACGCTGCGCTTAATATCGGACCAGTCGGGGGCCCTGGAAACGCGGCGAGTGTCCCCGGTATATGGTCACTCGAAAATAACTGGATACTGCGAATTTTGTATGGCCAGGACTAGAAGATTTCAAGCTCCCTTGTTTGGTGTCGGAACCAACCCTCGTTTGTGGTTGCACGGTAGTACCCTCGGCATGGTATTTTTGATAGTTTGATTGGACATCGTCACAGGACGAGACAGACCACAATGCCCATCTTTTCACCCGGCAGATACAATTCACCCAGTATTGTATATATACGTTTACCTTCGCTCCATTATAGGACTAGACAGTCCTCACAAACCAACAAGTTGCAGTATGCTATGCAATCCTACGCAATATAAACGGCATGCGGCTTTCGAGGAGCTCACTTTTACTCAACTGAATGTTCTGCTCATTAAAGTCATGCAGCATCAACCAGCAAATCATTCTAAACACCAAGGTGCACCAAATATCATCGTGGGACACTGGCTCATCGGCTAATGGGGTGTCGACGTGAAGGTCATCCAGGCCATGGTCATTTGAAGCGGATCCACCGGCGTCAGGTGCCGTGGCAAGACCATTTGCTTGTCGACTCACTGGTGAGAACCTGTTAACACAGGCTCCGCTAGCATGAATTGTAATCGCTGGCTCATCTAAGCCAGAATCGGATTGGACGGCGACACTCGAATGGGTTCCAACGCTGCCCCGGCGTCGAAATGCAAAATTCCTGTGGACGCCTGCAAAGCTTGCTCGACGCTCAGCCGTTCGCGTAGCGTAATGCACAACATGCATCCGAATCACTTCGAAGTACACCTCCATCAACATGAATTGCTTCTCATCTGGACCACAAGCGTCCACGTCTTCAAACCGAGGAGAACTGGTTCGCTCATGATATCGCCGAGGCGAAACTGATGGCATGTCGGGGGCAAGGAAAGATTGCGCATCGGAGAGCTGCTCATCTGGTTCATTAAGCAGCCTCAACACTTGTTGAATATGAGATCTGACTACGTCCTGGACAATTTCCCTTCGTTGGTTTTGCCTAGCCAGCCTAAACCTCAGCTCGTGCAAGTCAGCTGAAGCTTGCCCCGGTCCCAGTGGTCCGGCACTCTTTTCTTCGCCTCTGCCTCTGGCCGTCAAAATCTCGTCACAGTCATCGATCGCAGAGTGCAGGGCTTTCAGAAACAGTAAGCGATTCGGATCGTTTTCCCCGTCTTGGCATTCTAGAATTTGCGTCATATGTTGAGTAATTTTGGAGTATATTGTCGAGTTTCGGTTTCCTTGTGGCAGTTCCTTCTCGGATAGAGCCCGATACGATTCCATGATTTTGACCAGAGAAAATGATCTCTTGTCCTAGCGAACAGAAGTCGGGTTCGTTATGTAAGTAAAGCTACTGTCCTGGATGTGGAATGTCCGACTCAGCATGCCCAGAATCTCAACGACACTGCAATGTTCAGGGTTGGAAATTTTGTATGATATCGATACTACCCAATATAGAATGGAGTCTTACATGGGAACAGATGATAGGTTCTGCTTGGTTCATCCCAGAAGTACTGCACAGCGTCGTTGGTACACCCGATGACCGCCAAGATCTGAGCAATTTCTCTTCTGCTCGCAATGTTCCCAAACTACGGAGTATGCAGTTCGCTGTTCGGAGTCTCCAAGCGGCTATGGTCCGACATAGAGCGATAGATGGTGGGGACATAGCCAAAGCAAAGTTCTTTCACATCATTGACTGGAATGACGCGATTCCATTCGAAGAGGCACTTTCCATACACCTGAAAGGAGAATATGAGGCCTAACTCGCTCATTCTCTCGCCGAGAACTACAAATCCATTTCCCTCAGCTCGGTATCGGTCTCGCCTTCAATCAAACTCTTTCCAGTACACCCCAAGGCCAGCCATCATCTCAACCAAGTGGCACATGGTCGTCGTGCCATCAGGCTTCATGACAGTGGCGGGCATGATATCCCAGCTTTTGCGTTTCCGTTGCACCGCGACAGTAAATGTACAAGCTTCTTCCAAAGTTGGGGGCCTTGATGGTAGGCTGTACGTGGCAGCAGTCCTGCTAGGCGGCCCAAGATCTCGGTACTGTTTCTCCTGCCATTCACGAGACGTCTCCTCCATCTTTTGCACGGCAAGAAGCAACACCAACCACGAGGCACGCTCGTTGTCTGCCGTGTGGATTCTCTCCTTGAGTGACCTTTTTGCATACTCCTTGCGCAAATCAACTTCAGAGTTGGTGCCAGTTTCTCCCAGGCTCTGCTGTGTGCCTTTCAAGTAGAAAATTTCGGCGTCAGGAATGGACCCTCTCTCGTTGGTGGGTGATAAAACAAATATGACGGGTGCGTCGAATTGAACTTCGTATCGAAGCTCTTCCCAAGAAAATTTTCATGATTTTGACTTGGCCCATTCACCCATGACCCTTTCGTTGCATTGTGTATAGCCTCGGGCAGAGGCATAATACTGCTGAAGGACCTGCATGAAAGTTGCCATGAGAGCAACGACTGACACGAGAAGAGCCACCACGGCTATGATCAGCTCTTTGTCAGACATTTTTGCAAGTCCTTGCCTGTGTCCTCTTCACTAAACAGATTATGACTACCTACGGCCTTCGGCCAGCGGGCTTTGTTGCCGCGAGTCTCAAATCTGGCGGAACGGCTTTGGCAGAAAGCAAGCTGACTGCCCAAACACTTGGACTCTCGCAGAGCAGACTCGGCAAGACCCCGCCCCGAGATTTTGCTCAGTCTCAACGATGTTGTGCCCCTGACAGCCTCATTTGGCAGACCGGGGCATTCAGCCGCAGACCCGCCCAAGACCGGGCGTTTATGGGATGCGGATGGGATGTAGGTGTGAAGCGGCCCGGCCCTCTCAAGACTTGAACTCGGTAAAGCCAGGTTCGCTTCTTGCTGCATGGGTCAAATAGCGGCGAATTATGGCGCTGCAAACCCATTTCAACGTGTGGGCATGGGGGGTTGGCTTGCTCATGATCAGAAGACTACTAGAGACGTTTTAGTCTCGTGAGTCGTGAGGCCCAACTGCGCGCCGAGTCCAAGACGGTGCATCCATACCCAACTACCACTCTACTTGCCTTATCGTGGCTGTCAATCAAAGGAAGTTCATCTCGATGAAGTCTGATTGTGCCAATCTCTTCGTTGGCAAGTTGTCGACGCCAGCTATCAAGCGGTCGTCATTTTCTGGCTACCGTCTGCACCCGAATCCATTCCCATCTTTGGCGGGCGCTCGACTGTGTAACCCGGCATGCTCGTTGATGCCGTTTTCATTTGGAATCATTCCAATGAACATGATGCTTGTCATGCGGTCGCGGACGGGTAGGTTCATTGGGTCAAGCTACGAGAATCACTCAATCTGATGAAACTGCCTACAGCCTCAACCTGGCCCAGAGATTTGCAGCCAGTCGGTCAGCGCAATCGTAGGCTCTATTCGTATTCATAGAGGCTGTATGGCAAGGCAAACTGAGACACTGCAAACAAACAGAAAACATAGGCGTCGCACGGAGGCGTGCTCCTCGTGCAGCCGTTGTTCCAGTCCTAGTTGGAGGACGTGCATTGACATTGGCAGCAAACGAAGGACCGTAAACAGGTTAACGAATATATGATATCACTTCACTGGAAACCAACTACCAATCATCCGTCTTTTTCCTTATATTAGTGCTGTCCTACTATCAATAGATGCCGAGACTCGACTCTTTTATAAATCAGAAGCCAAGTCAAGACCATGGCGTCGACGCGCGCCGCACATTGTGCAAACTGCGGGATGGAATCGACACAGAAATATTTCGGCTGCATAGATAGGCAGAGCACAGTCTTGGAGATTCGGACGAGATCATGCAGCGCAGTTGTGACTGTTAGAAAGACCTTTGGTCAGGACACAAGGCTCAGTATCGTGTCATGGGCAAGGAGGGAAAAGCTCCAACAGCCGATATACTCAAGGCGGTCCTGTTGACTTACAGGAAAGTGATTTTCCATGTCGGCCTCACCAAGGTGGAGTTTGGAAATGGCACTTGGCGACTGTATCAGAAGCGACGACCCATCGTCGCAATACGCACATAGGGTCGTTTCTCGGCCGTCTCATCAGGGACGCAGACCATAGAAAGGTGGCACTTGCAAGTAGTCAATGCACAACCGCCATGGCATGACTGGGTTCTCTGATTCGGAAGTTTCTTAATGATGAGTTAGTGTCTCGCATCAACTCCCATCTAGCGACTGTAGAGCTAATACTCAGTAGGGTTGGTGTCACACATTGACTCGTTGGACAATGATATCGGCGACCCTATTCTTCGAACTAGAATCATACCAGATCTTGGTTCCAGCAACTTGCCGCACACCATGTTAAGATTGAGAAGTCCCCTTGGCGGCTAAGCATGGATTATCGACACAGCGAGTTTTCAGTATGAATTGCGCGATACCCTCATTCCCAAAGAGAAGTACGTCTCTGACAAAGGATTCCGCGACGCTCATCATCCCAACACGTGCGATGCTACTGAAACAAATGACTTGGACCCTTTCTCAACTTTACCGTTCATGAATGTCACTCGGGCTCAGGAGGGGGACCGGGGGTAGAAGACGGGCTCGTTTGCATTTTGCTAGCTTCTGTCAATGGTTCCCCCGTCGGTCAAGACATTCTCTGTTTACTGCAAAGACATTAAGGAATAGTTTGATGTTTTCAGGGGAGCAATGAAGGCGCATATGTTGCTTCTTGGAAGTAAAAGATGTATCACAAGAGGATTAAATCTTGGTCCTGAGGTATTCAAATGGCGCGTGTACAAAACGATATGGATGGCCGGGTTTTGCACAACAAAGTTGTGACGGAACAACCCGGCAAATGCCAAGAGTCAAATTTTCCTCGACATTCCGTTATCCACGTTTTTTGGAACAACTCTTACTGCAGCCTTGCATGAAAGCGGGTGGTTGTATACTCACTCAAAGAGTTTTCTTGGTCACCTCCACCTCTCCGATTTCATAAATGACGCCTGCATTCTTGGCGGAAGAAGAGGAGGATTTTCTCATTAATATGGCCATGCATGGCCATGTTGAGGTCTTTCTCTTATGCACGGGGCTTCATATGGCCAAGGCAGGGTCTCACGGCAGCGGTGGATGCAAGGTCAGGTTGCCAACGCTCCGGCACTTTGTTCAGGCACACGATTCTAGAATGTATGAAAACAATTTTCAGCCGGGGCTGATACGGCCGTGGTTTTTCCCACGGCTCGTGCGGCTAGACAATGCGGTGTGAGCTGGCCCTTGGCGACTGAAGTCGACGCCTCCGGGCGTCACGATGGCTCAATGTTGTTATTGCTAGCTGTTACACCTGAGCTGTCACGTCACCCCACAACACGACACTTTCAGCTACCAATGGCGGTTGCATATGGAAAGCAATTGTTTGTTCCCAAGTGCCTGGGTATTGTCATCGCCGAAAGCCACTTGCATTGCAGAATCGGGAGGTGGTGTCACGGGTCACCGCTGTTGTCGGTTGTCAACTTGCACGCCTTTGAGTTACATGATATGACAACAAATCCGCTTCAGGCGCTTGGACGTTGTCCTCGCCACAGGTGAGTGAATAAAGGAGAGAAATGCCCGAATGGCAGGCACAGACCATGTTCATGTTGGCTGAGCATGGCTGAGTATGGCGGCCCAAACAACTCAGCTGCTGCAGGAAACTCACGATGGTTGCCACCATGACGAGCCTCGTCAACTCGTCAACTCTCCAAAAGACAAAATACATGCAAAGGTCCACAATGTGGACACAGACACACAAGATCGTGATACAGTTCCGCATTTGCTGCATCATTGCAGCCAGATCTGCTGGGGCAAGCCAGTCTGGCGGCGGCGGCGGCGGCGGCAACCCGTCGTTGGCAATGTTTCTCGGGGAATGCGCCACTTGTCTCCCGGCCGTGCGGATTTCATCCCAGACGCCAATGAGCCTTGGGAAAGTAACAAGAAAAAGAAACGCTGCGTCACCTCCGTGGCTGCAAGAGTGAACCCGACAGACTGGGAACCCCGTTGCTTACCTTGGCTCTTGTTCTTATTCACGCACACGCTCACACACCCAACAGGGCATCATGTGGCCCCGTGGGTTAAACAGAACATGGCTTTTCGGGGTCAACCCTGTGAATAGTAATGGCCAGGCAAGGATAAAAGGAGCCTAGGTTGCACAGGACTTGGGCTGGAGATTGACTGTCTCCTTCTTTTGTTTTAATTTCTACTTCTCTGGGGCCACATTCTTTCGGATATCTCGTCAAAAAAAAAAGCACCGTTAGCTATCGGTTTCCCATTCTCCTTGCTTGGACACGATATTTATTCCAGCCTTCTGCCCTTGCTGCCCTGTGGCACCCCTGTCTTGAACCACAACCAACGTACTACCACCTTCTCATGAGGAGCATGGGGAACTCACTCAGTAGACCGGAAGGCAAGCCTTCGGTTGACAGGCTGACGACAATCTCCAGGAACATTCAGGAGAATACCCAGATCCTCACGGACAAGCTGCACACGCAGGGGCTTAACGCCCCCTCGTATGAGCCACATGGTCTTGCTGACTTTCCGCTGAAAGAGTCCGACGATGAGACATTGAGGGCAAGGCAGCAGATTTTGTCTCTGACCAAGGAACTTCGAGACTTGGTGCTGGGACCACGGGAAGCTCTGAAGCTGATGGCCTTGGACGTAAGCGGATACACTCCAAGACCGCCATGAAAAGAGTACAAATACTGAGGGGAAGAAAACCAAACAAACACTAGGTTGTCAATTATATCCCTCTGCACGCAATCTACACTTTCAAGATTGCAGAGGCAGTGCCTCAACAAGGATGCATCTCATACGACAACCTGACGAGGGAAGTTCAGCGCGTCTCGGGCTTCAAAGTCCCTGCATCTGAGCTTCGCAGGCTCCTCCGTCTCGCCATGGCCAACAATCTCTTTTGCGAGCCAGAGCTCGACCACGTCGCCCATAATCGCACCTCACTCGTCATGCTGGAAGACGAAAGCCTAGCCAGCTGGGTTGGATTGTACACGGTCGACCTGTTTCTTCCCGTTGGCAACACGGTGGCAGCTATGCAGAAGTGGCCTGGTTCGCAGGACCTCACAGAGACAGTATGTGTGCTCTTTTTGTTCTTGTCTTTTCTTTGTTTCATTACGTATAGCAAAGGAGAGAGTGAGAGAGAAGAGAGAGACTAACTTTCTTGATTCTTCCTCCTCCCCTCCCCCCCCAAAATAGGCCATCAACATCTCGTACGGCCATAACAAGACCTTCTTCAACCACGTCCAGACAGACACAACCCGGGCCAAAAGGTACGATCTCGCCATGCGAGCCCACGGCTCCCGTGAAGGGTTCGACGTGTCGCACACGGTCCAGAGCTACCCCTGGGCAAAGCTGGGCAACGCCACTGTCGTAGATGTAAGATCCACCTCCACCGCAGCAGCAGCCTGCAGCAGAAGATTTGTTGAGGTTGTACAGGCCCGTGGCTAATTCGCGACTGTGTTTTGCTCGTTCCCTGTCAAAAGATGGGCGGCAACGAGGGATACGTATCCATGGCCATCGCCGAATCCTTCCCCAACCTCAGCTTTGAAGTCCAGGACCTCCCTGGCATGCGGACCGCCGCAACCATGGGCAAAGTCCCGCCCCATCTGGTCCATCGTGTGAAGCTCACGACGCACGACTTCTTCGTCGAGCAGCCCACCGTTGCAGGCGCGTACCTGTTTCGGCACATCTTCCACGCGTTCCCGGACAGACACGTTGTGCGCGCTCTGAGGGCCCTCGTTCCCGCCATGAGGCACGGGTCGCGCGTCATTCTCAACGACGTGGTTCTGCCGGCCCCGGGAGCCGTCTCGCTGACCGAGGAGAAGACGTTTCGCCTTCTCGATGTCCTGATGAAGACTGTCTGCAATGGTCGGGAGAGGGAAATCAGCGACTGGAAGGTCTTGTTCGAGGAGGCGGACGCGAGGTTCGTCTGGCAAGGGGCCTGGAAGTCGAGTGGAAATCTGTGGTTTGTGGAAGCTCAGTGGCAGGAGAAGCCAAACATGAATGGGGACGAATCTCGCATCTGCTAGACGACACGGGCCCAAAGTTCGATGCGCCGGGGGCGACGAATACCGTGTTGCAAAAAGGGTCTCTTGTATTTTGATCGTCTTGGTCAGGAATTCGCGAAGCCAGTTCTACATTCTATTTCAGGCCAGAATCTGGCGCCTCCAAGTCTGTCAACGGGAATTTAGTGTTTCCCCCCCCCCCCCCCCCCCCCCCCCCCCCTTTTTTGCCATTGTGGGTTTTGTCGCAGAGAATATAAGGGGGTATAACACACAAAATACTGTGGCGTAGCCACGTCCGTTTTTTGTGTGACAGGTTTGAGTCCCACTAAAGCAAACTTGACTTTACCCGCTGCCATGACAGCGT